AGGGAGGGAGGGAGGGAGGGAGGGAGGAAGGAAGGAAGGAAGGAAGGAAGGAAGGAAGGAAGGAAGGAAGGAAGGAAGGAAGGAAGGAAGGAAGGAAAACTATCCTTTCCAATGCCAGAAGAGACATATTTTTGATCCAAATTTCTATTTTTATGGTTAAAAAAAGGATTAATTTTTTTCGTTATAACATCTTTTACATTCTAATAAGATCTTGGGAGTCTTGGACACAGTGTTTTAAAGTATGTTAACAGAAGTGGGGCTAGACTGGCAACAATTAGATGAACTTGAAATATTTTAATATGGGGTAAAGAAAGACAGGGATGCCTAAGAAGAAAGTATGCTGGTCATATTGATTCCTTCAGGGTCTGCTACCTCCAGAGAGATTCAACAATGTCTTTGCTGCCTGGTTTACAGCTAACATCTCTCTGTTCCTTCTACCACAGAATTATAATGGCTAGAGAAGGCTGTGGATTCTGCTGTTTTTTTCTGAACTAGAATCAGAATGTGGCTGCATAGGCTGACTCTGCTTGCATTAATGGCCCGCAGTATATACAGCAAATGCTGAGGAATGAGAAGGAAATCATGGGCAGGAAAGTGACACTAAAAGGAGAATCTGGCAAGAGAAATGGAGACAGCACAACTCCGTGTACAGCCCAGAGCCCTTGCTCGACAGCCAGGCCCAGTGTGTAGTGTAGCCCCTGCAGGAGGAGGGGGTCTGCTTTCAAATAAACATCTTCAGAGGGTGGAAGGACCCACTTAGTGTCAAAAAATCTTATCACAATGTCTCCAAATTCAGGGATCGACATTCCATGTGGCTAGAAGGCCATAACCATCCCCAAACAACTCCCTGTGTCGAATATGTAGCTCTGAGAAGTCAAATAGAGCAATTCCATGCCATAAGATCTCAGTGAGGCTCTACCAAGGACCAAGAGGTCTAAATTTGGCCGTAGTAATTTGGAAAATTTTGAAGTCTTGATTTGTTCCATTTTTGGTGGTTGTTTTTTCCTTCTTCTGAGTGGGGCATACTTATAATTTTCATTATAAGCCAAAAGTCTGACAATTGCCTGAAGGACTGTGTGACAACTGAGGTTAAATCAAAATTAGCTGCAGAGTACTGAGGCCTAACTGCACTCAGCACTGAGGGGAGTGCCACGGTGGACAGGAACACACGTGGGTTACATCACTGCACACAAGGTACTTACGGTCTACTGGGGATGCAACTCAGCCACACATCAACCAGGGAGTGAACAAGACAGCATGTCATAGTAAAAGAATGTTGCAGATTAATTGGGAAAGAAGCAAGTGCCATTGTGTCATTGATTGTCTTTCCTAGGTGATCACTTAGGCTAAACTTTACATTTTCCAAATAAAAGGGAAATTTCTTCTAGTTTTATTATATGCTGAAAGCAAACAGCATTTTCTGCATCTTTTATTTTGTTTTTGTTTGTTTGGTTGGTTTTTGAGACAGGGTTTCTCTGTGTAACAGCCCTGGCTGTCCTGGATCTCACTCTGTAGACCAGGCTGGCCTCAAACTCACAGAGATCTGCCAGTCTCTGCCTCCCAAGTGTTGGGACTAAAGGCGTGTGCCACCACACTCGGCTGTATATTTTCTTTATGCTAGAATAGTTAATAATTTAAATAATTAGATAAATGTGAAAACTAAATGAAAATGAATTTTTAGCAGTCAACTTAACCTCTTCATTAACTGTATGATTCTGTTTCTCTGTTCAATTCTACAGTAATCCTTTCTGATAGTGGTAGCAATAAAAATGCAGAGCTCAGCTTCTGCATGAAACCAATCCCAACTGAATGAAGCTTTTTTTTTAAACTTTATTTCAATTTTATGTGCATTGATGTTTTGCATCATACATGCATCCTGCATGTATGTGTGAGGGCACCAGATCCACCAGAACTGTAGTTACAGACAGTTGTTAGCTGCCATTTGGGTGCTGGGAACTGAACCTGGGTCCTCTGGAAGAGGAGTCAGTGCTCTTCACTACTGAGCCATGTCTCCAGCCCCTGAATGAAGCTTTTGGCAGCATGGCAACAGCAAGGGCTCTCTGTCAGGCACACCTGTTTTGGGATGCTGAAAAGGAACTACTTCCTAAAAATGTTTTATCCTTTGACTTAAGCTATAGTTAAGTACAGGTATACCACATATGAAAACATTATTAATCTGTTCACTTAAGACTTTATGTACTTATTATAGATGTGTAAAAAGGACAGAGGGGGGAAAACAGAACCATGTGGAGGGCTATGACCCCTGTCACAGCAGGCTGCCCACATCTAGCTGCTGAGTTGTTCACTTCCTGGATATGGGACCCTCACGCCCGTTGACACTAGAACAATCTGTTAAACACATTTACAAAGAAAGGCAGCAAGGGACCATCACCCTGAACCAGGTAACTGAGTCAGGAAATCTGAGATACAGCCTGGGCTCTGCTGTTTACTAGTTGTGGGACCTTGGGCAAATCACTTAATTGTCTGAGCTTTAGTTCTGTTGTATTGTAAACTGGCAGTACTAATCACCCCCTGTTGCTTCAAAGTATTGACAGATCATCAGTCTTAACGGTTTCTAGTTCTGGTAGCTGTACGTTTCCATCCTTACAGTTGTGGCCAACTCCAGTGGGAACTCTAATTGTCTCTTACCTCAGCCACTTCAACTGCTTGCTTCTTAATGCGTTGGGTCTGTTTGTTTTAACTTGTCCCTTCTAATCTCCAAGCAATAGCCATACTGGTCTAAAACTCTAAGCCGAATTATAAAACTCTTAGAAACATTCTATGGTTCTCTGTTGCCTACAGGCTGCAGATTCAACTCTGCATTCGAGACTCCTCTGACCTAATACTGATGGTCTCTTGTGGTTGAACTGAAATATTTTACATTGGCTCATAAGTCTAAGCACTTGGTCTCTGGTTGGAGGTGGTATTTTGGAAGGTTGTGGAACCTTTAGGTGGCAGAGCCTTGGGAGAAGTAGGTTTTACAGGCTGGTCCTACTTCTTGACCACTGTCTTCTTCCTGACTGACACATCTCTCTTGGTTCTCTAATCTTATCACTCTCTAACCTACACTACTGTGCACAAACTCTTATCATCCCCCGAGTCTGCCAAGAAGCTTTACTTCTCTACGGTTTTGTCCACTCTACTAGCTCTCCTGGCACACTCCACCTGGTACACAGGTATTAAGTAATCAATCGTGAGTTAAAGACTCAGTTCTACTATGAAGTCTTTTCCTCTGCCTACTCTCTGACCACATCATCCCACATAATGACTATCCCAGTTCCTGTGAGTCTTAGAGGCCTCTGTACCTGGTTGCCTTAAATGCCTTCCCAATAAATTGTAAGTTTCTAGAGAATGGGGACCTTGTCTTACGGGTCTTTGTATCTTCACAGGGCCAATGTAAGGCCTGGCATAGAACACTCTGAAATGCTCTATCCACACTTCTTCTCATTAGATGTTCTAAGTCAGTGGTCCTCAGCCTTCCTAATGATGCAACCTTTAATACAGTTCCTCATGGTGTGGTGACCCCAACCAACCAATTATTCTTGTTGCTACTTCATAACTATAATTTTGCTACTGTTACGAATTGTAATATGAATATCTTTTTTCCTGTGGTGTTAGGTGACTCCTGTGAAAGAGTCACTCAACCCCAAAGGATTGTGACCCACAGGTGGAGAACCACTATTTTCATTGGAAGGGTGAGTAAGCATGCAGCCTTCTCTAACTTTTTAGAGTCTTTTGTTTGAGTTCATATATTGTGCACCAAACCAAAAAAAAAAAAACCCAGCCTCTCATAAGTGGTAAGTGAAACAGCTCTGTAGCTAGCACTATTGAAATAATAACAATTACAAGAGGATGGGACATTGGCATTTAAAAGAACCTTGAAATCATGTGACATGAAAAACTTTATGGCCTGGGGACATTAGCAAGTTGCCCAAGATCACACAGCCCACAGCAGTAGTGAAAAGAAATTTCACAGCTCATCTTCTGAAAGAAGTTCCATGCATAAAGATGGTACTTTTCACTTTTCAACACCAAGATTAAAAGTTGGGAAAACATTCAAAGATTTTTACAAAAATATCATGAGCAGCCCAGCTGAGTGTAGTAAAAGTGGCAAGTTTCTCCCATGGTCCCTTACTGTTTATGACAAGAAGGACCTAGTCAAGTTACACTGCTGGGACCCTCACAGGTGCCCAGAAGTTCCCGTGGTGCCTTGGGCCTGGAGTCCACACTGCGCAGAGAACTCAACTCAGATCTTTCACCCACTGGCACACTTGGCCCATACCTTTCATCATTCAGAAAAATGCTCCGAAAATGAAGCCAAAGCTCAAGATCAGGATGACGCCAACAGAGTGTTTCTAAAGTCAACCAGGTCTTCAAACATGTCAGACTGCTAATGAAAATGGAAAATCTGATCCTGGGGCCATCTGACTGTGTTTTAGGGTCTAATAGGCATAATCAAGGGGCTCCTCAGAGCCTACCATAAAGCCAACAGAGGAGCCACACACAGGCCCTAGAATTTTCATTCATTTGTTTGAATCAGGCAGCCAGGTTAGGGTGTGAGACGCCTTTTAGTGCCATGATCCTTTATTACTGCCCTATGGGAATGGTTTATGTGTGTCTCCAACCCATGATTTTTGCACCATCAGACATGTTCCTGCATGCTATAGGAACTGCTGCTGAGCCACCTGGGGGAGCCCAAGCCTAGGAGGTGGGATTTGGGGAGGAAAGGAAAGGGAATCTACCATTGTTACAAGATAACACATTCATAGGCCATAATACAGATGAGGAAAAATAGCTCTCCTACCATAGGCTGAATGCAGGAACTGAAACTCTGTTGGATAGAAATGTTAGTTGAAATTACCACTAAGAATTTGTGCAAAGTTGTACATATTGCAGTTATATAACAGACTTGTTCAAGATAGCAGTTTCCCCCAGGTTGCATAAGAAGCAGTGAAGGGAGAGAATGGGAAGTACCTCCCCCCGGAAAGGGTGACAGACTTGCCATCCAGGAAAGTTCATTAGTTACAGAGAAGCACCTCCTTGGATGCCACAGGATCTTCCAGAGAAGAGACTGAAAACCACCTGGATATGAACAGGCATAAGGTCCCGTTCTTTGCTTGTCCATATTAAGACCATTTCAATTCTCCCAAGAACTGCTGAGGGATTTCAAGCATGACAGAGACTACAATGAGGAAGAAATAAAGGCTCAGGGGACAATTAATGGCCGTCATGGGTCTCTCAGAGAACGAGGTTCAATGAAGAGACATTCTGTCTAGGACAGTGTTATGCTGTAGAAGGAACATGACTATGGGGTCAGACAAATGGGTTTGAATCTCATATCCACGGCATTTTAAATCTAATTCTGAAAGTTACTTTATCTTCTCTGAGCTAAACTGGAGGCAAGAAACTCTAGCTTACAAGACAAAGGTAAAAAGGCACATTTGTAACTTGCCTTACCCAGAGCTTCAGTGTGCAGGTGTTTAGAAACAGATTATTTTCCTCCACTTTCCCCCAAGTTTGTAATATACAAAATGGGAATGGAAAAATCATATGCATACTTCAGTGGGATTATAATTCAAATGAAACAAGAGGTGAGAACATGCTTCTTATGAGAGTTTTGACTTTAGTTTTCTATTTATCCTTCTTTTCACTTTCACGTTACATTATCAGGAATATGATAAACCCTTTGCTCCCTGGATTCTGAAAAAGAAGTCTTGGACAGCTTTTGCCTCCTGTGAAGTTAAATACCTAAATATGATCCTTGAAATTGGCAGGCACTTGGGAAGAAGCATAAGTACCCACATAGCTTTCAGAACCAATGAAAGAATGAGCTTTTTGCCCCTGCATCCTGAACAGATGAACCTAAGGGAGCACAGAGCTACTAAAAAGAGCTCACTGTGAGCAATTTCTTGGTCTCCTTGAAGTAACTTGTGGGAGCCCGTTCTGGGGTTCCTCGTGGCTTTACCCAGCAGGTCCGAATAGAGGATGATCAGGACCACGAGCCTGAGTGCAGGTGTTTGAGATGGTCTGCACTTGGCTGTGCTGGGGGAGGAGGTCTTTTGCTCCACCCCTTGGCGTCTCTATAAAAACCCTGGATCAAAGACAGTCCGGGCCTGTTTGAATAGGTTCCAGGCCCTCTCGAGGCTATCCTTTATTTTCTATCTGTTTATCTCCACAACATTCTCCACTATAAATCCTTCTATCTAATATTTCCTGCTGCTCGCACTCAAGAAAACTCTGGGAAGCTGTGGGGGTGGCGGGTAAACGCCCCACAGTAACTGAAGGAAATTTAAATCTTCATGGCTGGCTCCTTGCAAGCACCTCCCTGAATCACAAATGGCCAGCTCTGGCAAGAAGCTGAGATTCACTTTTAATGTTCTCTCTGATCTTGAGCCTTTATGGCAGGAACCTCCCCCTAATAGTCAGACCTGTGAAGGTAGAGTTCAGCATCACAAAATATGAAACAGACCCCTCTATGAGTATGTAAGCATGAGGGCGTGTGTGCATATGTGTGTGCACACGTGCACGCACGCGTGCGAGATCTCCCCCAAAGTCACACAAACATCTGAAACAATTTCAGTCTGCTACCTCTTCTTTCCTTCCCTTCCTTCCTGATTTTGGGGTAAAGATGGCCTTGAACTCCTGATCTGCCTGTCTCCAATTCCCAAGTGTAGGGATAATGGGTGTATGTCATCACACCTGGCCATTGTGGGCTGTCTAACACAATGCACTAGTACTATCCTTTATTGTGGATTTCTGAGCAAATGGTTTGGCTTAATCATAGATTAGAAATATGTTGACTTTTTAAAGTATTAATCAGGTTGGATAAAGGCTTATTATTATTATTATTATTATTTTACTTTACTATTGAAACGTAACACTCTCCCTGCGCCTGCAGCTTGCCAGGCTGTCCATGTTTTTAACAATCTCAGACTCCTCTCTGCACTGCCTTCTTCTCCAGCCTGGCTGTTCCTGTCGAACCCCCCGTGCTTCCCACTGCCTCAGCAGCCACAGGTGGTTAGGAGTTCAGGTACCGAGGCAGGATGCCAGAATGCGGTTCTCGTTGCTGAACTTCTCTAAGTTTCTATTTTCCCAGTTGGAAATTGTGAAAAATAAAGTACTCAGTTTGTTGTAATATAAAACAAATTAATACCCATAAAGAGCTTCAAATTGTTGCCGACACAGAGGAAACATAGAATTAATTGTAGTTTTTTGTTTTTGTTATTTTAAGGGTCTCATTATGTAGAGCTCGCTGGCCTGGAATTACTATATAGACCAGGCTAACCTGGAACTCACTCCTAGAGATCCACTTGCTTCTGCCTTCCAAATGCTGGGATTAAAGGCATGCACTACCATACCTGTAACTTCACAGCATGTATGTAATATGATAATAATTCCAGGGTTCAAATACAGCCCATGCTCTTTTCTGTCTCAAACACTTCAGAAGAAAGAGATACCTGCAGAATGAGTACCAGATTGGCACAGAAAAGCACAGGACAGGAAATCTGCCCAAGATTCTAGTCTATAAGCTGTTGTCAGTTAACAGGTAATGTGGGATGGGACAGCTCTTCTCCAGGATGTCTTAATCACAAAGGAGGTTGAATTAAAGAATCCCTGGGGGCTTTTCAACTCCATAATATTCACTAAATAAGAAAATGGGGTGAGGAGTTGGGGATTTAGCTCAGTGGTAGAGCACTTGCCTAGCAAGCGCAAGGCCCTGGGTTCGGTCCTCAGCTCCGGGGAGGCAGAGGAGAATGGAGGAAGGAGGATATGACATTTAAGGTCTTTCCAAATTTGTTCTTTGTAGTCTGTAGTTCAGATTCATCAGTCCCTCTCAGTCTATGCTCCAACCATTTCTACTAGTTCTAGGCTCGGCAGTCGGGTTCCACGCCTCCACTGTGCCTTTACAGGCATGCTCTGTCCTGTAATGTGCCCTCCTCCCCTGAGTGCTTCTAAAGGCACCTCCTACTTCTGCCTGCCTCAAGTCTCTACTGTTAGTTCCTTTGTGGAGTCCCTACTATCACCTCCAGGTAGACTGTGGTTCTGCATCTGTTCTTTATATATTACTTACTGTATTGTAGTACAATTCATCATTATTAATATGAAAGGGTCCAAAATTACCTATGAGCTCCTGCAGGCAAAGATGACAACTTTTATTTTTTCTATCCCAGTATAGAGGACATTCAACAAATGCTTAGTGAGTGACTAAAGAACTTATGTAAAATCACCTGCAACCCTAAGGTAAATGGTTACATATGAATTTCGGAAAGGTGAGGTGACTTGTCCAGGGCTATACACCTAAGGCTATATACCTAGGGAGAAGCCTAATCTGGTTTCAAACCCAGGACTTCCAAACCATAGTGCCCATTCCTTCTCCTGATCATGGGTGTTAAGCACTGACTGAGCCCAGGAGTTAGATCAGTGGTTAAAACACCACTAACACTCCTGGCCCCAAAACAGGAAGAAAAAAAGATCTTTTCAATATTTTCTTTCAGTTTTTTTGTTTTTGTTTTTTGATTTCTTTCTTACTATGAACTCAAGCTGGCCTCACACTTGTGGCCCAAGCCTCCAAGTGCAGAGATTATAAGTGTATGCCATCATGCCTAGCACCTCCTTCAGTATTTCAAACCCATTTCAATCTCTCTGTTCAAAAGTGTTGTATGTCTTCTGTTTCTGAAAAACAAGCAAACTGTCTCAGCCTGTAAAAAGGCTCCTTACTCTGGTGGCAAGTCTCTCACTCTATTCCAAATTTACACCCCAGAGGGAGAGGGAAGGAGAGGGGAAGGGAATGGGGGGAGGGAGAAAGAAAGAAAGAGAGTGATTCCCAATGGCAGCCTCAGGCAAAACTGAGGGAAACATTAATTTGGACACTGCTTGAGAGAGATGAAGCAGTCTCATATATTCCAGCACAGAAAAAAGGGGCCACCCTCAAGTCCCAGGGACAACAAAGGGACTCTACTCTACTCCCACCCCAAGGTTGTCCTGCCCCAGTTCCCAGAGGGGATGTCAAAGAGAATCGAGCCAGAACTGGCTGACTCCAGGGCAGTCTCAAAAGAAGGGCCAACCGGAGGATTTGTTTTCACAAATGGAGGCCTGCTTCCCCCTCCTCACCACTGCGCCCCCGCCCGTTGCTTACCTGGAGCATAACTGGGGCTGTTGGTCGGGTAGAGGCTGGGATTGTAGGCAGGGGCAGCTGCCGGGTAGGCTGTGGGGTAACCTACAAAGACACAGAAGAAAAGCCTCATTTGGTTAGGCAAGGGGACTAGGGAGGCTTGGCTTTCAGTCTCTTCACAGGCTATTTCTGACTATATACACAGTGATCAGAAAATTAACTCATATTCTCTTTGGGTAATTCAGAACACTTCAATACTTTCTTAGTGTTATACAACTGTCCTCTGTATGTTCCTAAAAACGTTTCTACCATCTCAAATAAAAACTCTGTAACCACTGGTAACTCCCAAGCCTCTAGTCCTCACTGGTGATCTAATCTACTTTTAAAAAGTTATTTCTAGAATTCATTTCTAAAGAAATGATCAGAGTCTGGGCTGGAAAGATGGCTTAATGGCTACAAGCACTGGCTGCTCTGCCAATGGCTTTGGGTTCAATTCCTAGCACCCGCGTGGCAGCTCACAACCATGTATAACTCCAGTCTCAGGGAATCTGACATTCTCTTCCGGCCTCTGTGGGCACCAGGCATGCACATGATCCCCAGACATACATACAGGTAAAATAACTATTTACATAAAAATAAATAAATAGGATTTTTAGAAAAGGTGTCTCCAAGATTTTTTTTAGTTTTTTTTCTACAGGTTTTAAAACCTTTTACTTGTATATTTTTAAATGTGTACTCTAATTAAATTAAAGTCATTTGAACATAAAAAAAATTGGCACTGGGGGCTGGAGACATGGCTCAGTGGTTAAGAACACTGACTGCTCTTCCAGAGGACCCACATGGCAGCTCACAACTGCCTGTAACTCCAAGATCTGACACCCTCACACAAACATACATAGCAAACAAAACACCAATGCACATAAAATAAAAATAAATTATTTTTAAAAAATTGGCACTGCATTTTACAGACCTCAGAATACCTTAGGCCTCTTGCATTTTACCTGAGATTTTTAACAACTCTCATCCATCTTCTCCTTTACCAGCATGCAAGCTCTCCTTCCCTGCCAGCCAGACTGCCAGGCCAGCCTTCACTGTCAGGGCTGCTTGATTCTTTTTTTTTTAATTTAATTAATTAATTTATTTATTTTTTTGGATTTTTCGAGACAGGGTTTCTCTGTGTGGCTTTGGAGCCTATCCTGGAACTCGCTCTGTAGACCAGGCTGGCCTCGAACTCACAGAGATCCACCTGGCTCTGCCTCCCGAGTGCTGGGATTAAAGGCATGCACCACCACCGCCCAGCGCTACTTGATTCTTTAATGTGAAAGGGGTAGTACAGTCATTTAAACTTGACCCAAACCTCTTTGCTGCTCAGAAAATCAAACAGCTAAAAGTACTAATATTGGACGCTGGAGAGATGGCTTAGCAGTTAAAAGCACTGGCTGCTCTTCCAGAGGATGTGGGTTCAATTCCCAGGACCCAAAGAGCAACTAACAACTATCTGTAGCTCTAGTTCAAGAGGATCTGGTGCCTCTTCTGGCTTCTGTCTGCAGTGCACAGACATATATGCAGGCAAAATACTTATACACACAAATTAATCAATTAATTAATAAAAAAGGAAATAAAATCAGGAGGCAATGCTTATGGGACATGCAAGGCACACTGATAGTATCTGCCTATTTTGTGTCTCCTGTTTCAGCCTTTCTTTTGAAGGCAGAAGTTTTTTCCCTTGCATTTCTGTCTTCTTCAATTTCAACTTAGGAAATTTTGCAATCTTACTCATACTGGGTCTGTCACACATGGCTGCCAGAGTAAGGTGTGTGAAGAGAAGAGTCTGGTGTGGACAGTGGCTGCCAGTGAGTGCTGTTTTGTTTTGTGATAGGATTTTTCTTTGTAGCTCAGGCTAGACTAGAACTCCTAATTCTTTGGCCAATCCTTGTGTGTATGAGCCACACTGAGCTTCATAGTGAGAGTTCTAGGACTAGTCTCAAAATTCATCCATTCACTAAATACTTGAGTAACTACTCTGTGTCAAACACTGGATTAGAGATTTTTATCAATGCATAAAACATGTTTGCTCTCAGGGAGCTTATAATCTAAAAGAGCTGGAAAAGGCACTGAATAAATATTAAAATAAAATCCTGAGTGTGGACAAAAAAAAAAAAAGGAACAGCAAGAACATCAGAAATACATTGGAGTAAGCTGGGCGGTGGTGGGCACACTTTTAATCCCAGCAGTTGGGAGGCAGAGGCAGGAGGATCTGAATTCGAGGCCAGCCTGGTCTAGAAAGTGAGTTTCAGGACAGCCAGGGCTACACAAAGAAACCCTGTCTGGAAAAACAAAAACAAAAATGAAAGAAAGAAGAAATGCATTGGAGTTAGATTACTGCAATATTAAACAATAATCAGGGTAAAATAACACAGAGAAGTTCTATATCCAAAGGCTTGAAGGAAACTATGTGGCAACTAAGAAGACAGTGTTAGAAAAGGCCTTCTAGAGTTAAAAACAAAACAAACAACCACTCAGTGCAGAGGCCCTAAGTTGGGAGGTGTAATTACTTTCCTCTTTTCTGTAACAAAGTATCTCAGAAAACAGCTTAAGGAAGGGGTTATCCTGGCTCACAGTTTCAGTGTACCATCCTTCACTGTGGAGAAGGCACAGGGGAGCCAGGCAGCTGGCACTGGCAGCAGGGGAGTGAGGCAGCTGGTCACACTTGCATGCAGAGAGAGGATGCTGGTAGCTGGCTTGCTCTCTCCTTTTTACTCAGTCAAGACCCTGTCATGCCATCTACAGTTAGGATACATCTTCCCACCTCAATTAACCCAGTCTAGAAATGCCCTCAGGCAGGTTTGTCTCTTACATGGATTCTATTTCCTATCAAGATGGCAATTATGAAAATGGGGCTCAGACTAGAACAACAGTGTGGAATGGTAAGAAATGGCCTGGGAAAAGTCCTCACATACTTGACTACGATACATTCAGTAAGACAATCAAGCTCAACTTGCACTAGCAGTGTGTAAGTGGCTACGTAACTACTCCCTGCAGTTTTCAGCAGCTCATTGGTATTCTGACTAACAGTGGAAAATTGGTTTGAGAAGTCAAAGATTAACTCCCTAAATCCCTAAATGCTTCTTTGGGACTGTAAATATTGGAGCTTTAATAATGTATCTTTGTTAACATGCTGTTGCAGAAATCCTTTGAATTCCAAAGAAAATTCATCACTCTACCCTGATCTGCTTTAGAACTGAAGTAGCCAATTTGTCACTTAATTACCAATCTAGAGATGTGCCACTTCTCAAGAAGAGAGACAAGGGATGTAATCTGGGAGGCTAAGTGACGGAAATCTACATTCAGCTTCCTGTAAGAGATTGTATGCCACAGACAGCCATGCTTCTATTTTGTCATTTCAGATGACTTTTACTTTAGAGGAAAATTACAGGATCATCCTTCAATTTTCTATTTGTTTGTTTGTTTATTGACAGGGTCTCACTATGTAGCTCTGGCTGTCCTGAAACTCACTTTGCAGACCAGGCTGGCCTTAAACTTACAGAGATCCACCTGCTTCTGCCTCTAAGTGCTGGGATTAAAGACATGTACCACCACGACCACCTAAATTGTTCCATGTTTCTAATTAAGAGTTATTATTTAATTTATTTATTTTGAGGCAGGGAAACCCAAGATGGCCAAGAACTCCTGGTATCCCAGCTGGTCTGAAATTCATGATTTTCTTGCTTCAGCCTTCTGAAGGCAATATAAGTAGAAATAATAAGAAATAAAATACTAGAATGTGTGCCTCTTCCCACTATGTATGTATGTGTGTGTTTGTGTGTGTGTGTGTGTGTGTGTGTGTACACATGTGCAAGTATGTGCATGTGTGCACCTGTGTGTAGGTTCTAACAGAGACTAGAAGGGGCTATCAGATCTCATGGAGCTGGAGTTACAAGTAGTTGTGAGCCACCAGATGTGGATGCTGGGAATCAAACTTGGGTCATCTGGAAGAACAGTAAGTGCTCTTAATCACTGAACTATTAGAGCCAGGCAGATCTCTGTGAGTTCGAGGCCAGCCTGGTCTACAGAGCAAGATCCAGGACAGGCACCAAAATTACACAGAGAAACCCTGTCTCGAAAAACATCCCCCCCCTACAATCACTGATCTATTTCTCCAGCCCCCTTCTAAATTTAAAAAAAAAATGTGAGTGTGTGGGAGGGTGGGTGGGTGGGTGGGTATGTGCATTTGTGCATGTGCCACAGCACGCATGTGGAAGTCAGATAGCTTTAAGGAGTCAGTTCTCTCTCATTCCACCATGTGGACCACAGGAATAATACTCAGGTCTTTACTCTTGGCTGCATGGAGTACCTTCACTCATTATGCCATCTCACTGGCCCAGAACTGGAAGTCTTAATCATAACATTAGGTAAGAGAAGGAAAAGGTGTCCAAATAGTAAAAGAAGAGCCAAATGATCACCAAAAGACTAGTAGAGATTTAAAAAAATGAATCCAGTAAAAATGTCAGTAAGTAAAAATCAACATTAAAAATTTAGTAGTGCTCTTATACACCAGTAATAGACTTGCTGGAAATTAAATCAAGAAAGCAATCTCATTCACAATAGTTATAAAAATAAAAAATAGGAGACTGATCATCCAGTAGCTCAGCAGCCCTTGGCCCAGCAAGCTGGGACATGCAGTGTAACAGCACAGACAAAAGAGACGATGCCTCCTCACAAGTGACCTTCACACACACACACACACACACACACACACACAGTGGCTCTTGTGCTCCCACTCTGTTCTACACATCTATACCACACACACACACACACACACACACACACACACTTCTTAAAAGTGAAAATGACTATTGTATCCTCAATGCAAAGACTTCTGCCTTAACAAAACAACAACAAAAACCCCTCTCTATTCTTTCAAAATACAAAAGAAGAGAGCAAGAAAAAAAAAGAAAAATTAATTCTATCATGTTCTGGCTGGGCACCTCTTTACTGATTTAATCTCCACTCCCAACTCTACAAAATGTATTATTAGCTCCATTCCTGAGATGAAGATACTGGGACAAATCTTACACAACTAATGAGTAGACTGGAGACAGAAC